TGTGAAGCTCCCAGATGAAGACCGTCAGGAAGACTACATCACACAACTACTCGTTGAAAATGACGCCAAGTCGTTGCTGTCTACTTCGGGTGATGCCACTCTCGCATGTTATGATCTTCGATATAATAAACAGAAGTTGAAGGCCATGAGCGATAGCCAAGAGAATGAGCTTCTGTCTATGTGTCTAGTGAAAGATGGCAAGAAACTGCTCACCGGGGATCAGAACGGTGTCGTGGGGATCTGGAACTATGATTACTGGGGTGATGTTAGGGATAGGATTACGCACATGCAGAATGTCACATCCTTGGACAACATGATTGCCGTTGACGACTCAACCGTCGTGTGTGGAGGTGGCGACGGATACGTTCGAGTGTTCTGCGTTTTCCCTAATGCTGTGAAAGGCGTTCTAGGTGGTCACACAGATGTCTCGACAGGGAAGCCAGTGGCTGCAGAGATAGAGAGTATGCATGCTGATTTGGATGAGGGAATTGTGGCGACGGTAGGACAGGATTATCACATCAAATTCTGGAGAGTGGGAGATGCGCTCAAGATGGCTGCTGGTGAGACGAAGGATTCTGATGCAGAGTCGGAGGACGAGGAGGCTGCTAGCAAGCTGACGAGAGCGAAACGACAGAAAATGAAGAGGAAAGCGGCACAGATTGGGAAGCAGAAAAACACCGCTAGTGTGAACGCGAAGAAAGCGAATACCAAGGCTTTCTTCCGGGATATTGACGATCTGTAGTGCAATCATTACGATGAAGGTTCTGTACCGATAACGTTTCTACAAACTTCAGGAATATCGAGTTTTTGGTCAATTGCAGTCTTGATCACGATAGTTCTCATCGCGCTTCGTAGCGTAGTGACCTCCAGTATTTGAGGATTACGACTGGCAGCTCGCATTGACTCACAGGTGAGCACACTTTGACTGATGAGCTCGTCTCTGTCACTCACCTCTTCACGACGATCACTTCTTCGATTCATAGAGTCTTGTATACCTCCCCAGTAGCTGAACGACGCTCACGTGCGTGGGCACGCGATGAGCACTACGAGGTCGGTGTTTGCAAGGATCTTCGGAGAATCGCGATCAGTTTAAACCCAATCTCAATGTGTTGAGTTATAGTGTCACACTTGAATGCGTATTGTCAAACATGCGTGCGTTATTTCAGGTTTATTCTCAGCCTTGATTGCGATATAAAGCTTGAATCCTCACTCCCAATCTTGATTGTTGCATATCGAGGAAGTGTCAAACATGAACTCTCACTGGCAAACTTGTTTGTGTTAGTATAGGAAAGTGACAAACTTGAATCTTCATCGTCAACCTTGATTGTAACATGATTGCTCAAGGTCAAACTTGCTTGTGATAGTGTTAGTCTTGCCTGCTCAGTTGTCGAACTTGCACGGGAAAATGTGTAGGTTCGATCTGAGGGCCATCTGTTCTACATGTTGGAGACCTGCGTCACTCCGTCAGATATATCCGAATTCCGTTCACGATTCTGGGTTCGCATGGACATGCTGAGATCCTAGAGATGGATTATGACTGGTTTTCTTTCAACAGCGTAACAGCAAATTGTTGATGGCTTGGACTCCTTTCTGTTTCAGATCGGCGATCAACGGAGGAGCAGTTCATTGCATAAATGCAACCTGCTGAGAGACATGCTGAGAGAGGGAAGGCGCTTCGAGAGGGAGCGCATCGCAACTGAGGGAAACTTCTCCGGAAGGGTATCAGCGCCTGATAGAGAGGGTATTCTTCCTGATGAATCTTTTCAGATGAATCGGTGTCAAAACCTCCTGCATAGGGATCTAATAGTGAACTCCGAGTGCGAATACAGAGGCGGGATAACCAGATTGGTGGAACGAGACAGTTGGCAATGGATTGTCCCTGCAATCCAATCTTTAGGCGTGATTACTCCGCGCTCGTGCTATTCATTTCGTACATTTGCAGATTTGAGTCTGGCGCCTTAGACCACTCGGCCAATTTGGCCGAGTGGTCATCGAACCGCTTACTCATCGTCAGTTTGAAACTGACGATGAGTAAGCGCTAGTATCTTGTGATCCGTACTCTGGTTGATGTCGCCGACATCATGTCGGTCGTACTGATATATTGTTCCCTTGTCTATAGACTGTCAGCTGTGGGGTTCGAACCCACGCGGATCTCTCCACCAGAACTTGAGTCTGGCGCCTTAGACCACTCGGCCAAACTGACGATGAGTAATCGCTAGTATCTTGTGATCCGTACTCTGGTTGATGTCGGTCGTACTGATATATTGTTCCCTTGTCTATAGACTGTCAGCTGTGGAGTTCGAACCCACGCGGATCTCTCCACCAGAACTTGAGTCTGGCGCCTTAGACCACTCGGCCAAACTGACGATGAGTAAGCGCTAGTATCTTGTGATCCGTACTCTGGTTGATGTCGGTCGTACTGATATATTGTTCCCTTGTCTATAGATTGTCAGCTGTGGGGTTCGAACCCACGCGGATCTCTCCACCAGAACTTGAGTCTGGCGCCTTAGACCACTCGGCCAAA